GCAACAAATAATTGAATATATGTTATTAACATCTCAAGATAGTGATGATACTGTTGCATTAGAAGCATGTGAATTTTGGTTAATGATTGCTGATCAACCAATATGTCGTGATGTATTACAACCATATTTAGATAAATTATTACCAGTTCTTTGTAAAAATATGAAATATTCAGAAATTGATATTATTATATTACAAGGTGATACTGATGATGATGAAAATACACCTGATCGAATTGAAGATATTCGTCCAAGATTTCATCGAACACGTACAAGACAATATGCACAAAATTTATTAGATAATAATAATCCTTCTGAACAATTAAATAATACAACAGATACAAATAATAATTCAACAACAGCTACACCACCAAACAGTCAAACAGATCAACATCTACCAGATGATGATGATGACGTTGATGATGATGATGATGATGATGATGGATTAGGTATTGCATTTGTATTATTATATATAAATCATGTACTTGTACAATCTTCAAACATCACTCCAATTTCGATTATATCTAAGTTATTTTTTTTTTGAAAATCATACTGTAAAAAAAAAATCATGTTTTATTCGATCTTATCTTGAAAATTTTTCATCGCATAGACATAGCATTGCAATATCTATTAATGACTGTTTTCTTTCGCTAATACTCGCACTCAGAAAAATTATTGTAATATTTTGTCTATGCGATAAAGAGTCCGATCATCCGTATTTTAACTTTCAGTCTTACTCATACTTTTGTCAAATAGAAAAAAAAATTTATATATAATTTTAGGTGGAAATGCTGATCAAGCAACAGAATGGAATTTACGTAAATGTTCTGCAGCTGCACTTGATGTTCTTTCAAATGTATTTCGTGAAGGTATTTTACCAATATTATTACCTATTTTACGTGAAATGTTATTTCATACAAATTGGCAAATTAAAGAAAGTGGTATACTTGTATTAGGTGCTATAGCTGAAGGTTGTTCATATGGTTTAACACCACATTTACCTGATCTTGTTGATTATTTAATAAAATGTCTTAGTGATAAAAAACCTTTAGTACGTTCAATAACATGTTGGACATTATCAAGATATTCATCATGGATTGTACATAATGAAGTACAACAAAATCGATTTCTTGTTCCATTAATGTCTGAATTACTTAAAAGAATTTTAGATACAAATAAAAAAGTAAATAATAATAATAATAATAAAGATATTTTCTTTTTTTTTTTTGTTTTCTTATTTATTTAAATATTTTAGGTACAAGAAGCAGCTTGTAGTGCATTTGCAACATTAGAAGAAGAAGCTTGTATACAAATGGTACCTTATTTAAAACAAATACTTGAAACATTAGTACATGCTTTTCGTAAATATCAAGCAAAAAATTTATTAATACTTTATGATGCTATTGGAACATTAGCTGATAGTGTTGGTTCACATTTAAATCGTTCTGATTATATACAATTATTAATGCCACCATTAATTGAACGATGGAATTTATTAACAAATGATGATAAAGATTTATTTCCATTACTTGAATGTCTTTCATCAATTGCAACAGCATTACAAACAGGATTTTTACCTTATTGTGAACCAGTATTTGGACGATGTATTCTACTTGTACAACAAACATTAGAAGGTCATGGACCAGATACATCATCAGACAAAGATTTTATGATTGTTGCACTTGATTTACTTTCTGGTTTAGCTGAAGGTTTAGGTAAATAAAATTTTTCTTCTGAAAGCTATTATCCATTTCAAAAAAAAAAAAGAATGGACTCGATTGTTTGTTGAGAATAACTTGGTAATGCTGATAGCTATCGAGCTCGAGTTTTTGTCATTAGAAAGAGTATGAGTGAGGATACAAATCTACCTGAGAATCAAACAATGATTTTCCACCCCCTAGAAAACTTTTCAAGTATTTTGATTCTTAGATAGACTTGTACCCCCCACTCGTACTCTTTCTAACGACGAAAACCCGAGCTCGATAGCTATCAACATTATCGAGTTATTCAACAAACAACCGAGTCCACCCGTTTTTCAACTGAATAATAATTGTAAATATTGACCATAATCTTGATTTGATTTTGTAAGGAAATTTTTTCTTTCTAACACTTGAAATTCCCCTTAAAAGTCAAACTTTGAAATAAGGTCATCAATTCACATGAAATTCAAAATCATTTACTATACAGCAAAATTTTGAGAATAGACTCTTTCAAAATTTCATATTGTCATGTAGTTTGAATGTTTTTCACTGTCAAAGACCGACTTATACGATTTCATTAGAAGTCACATCGTATCTATTAATTAAGAGAGTAAACATAATTTTCTTTTTTATTAGCTATATACCTTAAAAAAGAAAAAAAGAAACAAAACATTCTTCTATATCTATATATGATTTTAGGTGCTCATATTGATACTCTTGTTGAACGATCAAATATTTTACCATTACTTGAACGTTGTGCACAAGATTCAATGGCTGAAGTTCGTCAAAGTTCATTTGCATTATTAGGTGATTTAACAAAAGCTTGTTTTCGTCATGTTCATAAACATTTAAATATCTTTTTACCATTATTAACACAAAATCTTGATCCACATCATGTTAGTGTATGTAATAATGCAATATGGGCAATAGGTGAAATATCAATACACATTGGTTCTGAAATTCAACCATTTGTTTCAATTATACTTGAATCATTAATATCAATTATTAATCGAAATAATACACCAAAAACATTATTAGAAAATACAGCAATAACAATTGGACGTTTAGGTCTTGTTTGTCCAAATGATGTTTCATCTCAATTACAACGTTTTATACGTCCATGGTGTATTGCATTACGTAATATACGTGATAATGATGAAAAAGATTCAGCATTTCGTGGTATATGTAATATGATTATATTAAATCCATTAGCTGTTACAAATGAATTTATATATGTATGTGATGCAATAGCATCATGGGAAAAACCACCTATAGAATTACATGCTAAATTTCGAGATATATTACAAACATTTAAACAAGAATTTGGTAATGAACAATGGAAACAATTAACAGATCGATTTCCTTTATCACTTAAACAACGTCTTCAAATTCATTATGGTGTTTAATCTATGCTGTTTTGTTCTCTTTTGTTTTTTTTCTTTGTCTGTTCGACGACGAGACGATATTCTATATTGAAATACAAAAAAAGACAGTTTTTTTTTTTTTTTCTTTCTGTTCGGTTTTTTTTTCGTTTTGACACATTTATATCGTCCTAAAATAGAATAAAAGTCGTCTTAAAAAAAAAAAAAAATAATAAAAGATTTTTTTTTTTTCGTAATTTTTTATTTTCAGATTAAGTTTTTAATATTTTGAATGTAGATATAAATAGAATAAGTTTGGTTTTGTATGTCAGATATTTTTGTTTTACGTAGAAAAAAAAGAAAAAGAATTTTGTTTTTTTTTTCGTTTCAGATCAATCAGTGTCTATTGTCTGTGTTGTTTGTTTTACGTATGAATCATAAAAAAAATATATATATTCACAATGAAAAAAATCATCAAAAGAAAATTTTTACAAATATTTCGATTGCTTGGTATTTTTCTGTCAATATGAAATTGTTTTACTAAATGGGATATAAAACTTTGAAATTCATTGTCATATGAAACTTATAGGAATTCCTTTGATGAATGAGAAAGTTTTTAGTTCCCATTACTAGAGTTCATCGGGTACAAAAAACTTCTCAAATTCGATAGGTTCTACCTATTACAGACTTTAGCAATCGAAGACAACCAGCATCGTAATCCTTTTCAAAGATCTAGAATTTCGTTGAAATACGTTTGTGAACACTTTAAATAGTGTATAGTTTTTGATTTTTTGTACAGATAAAAATTTATATTGAAAATGTCAACGATAATGCGTAGTGATGTATTGATTTGCCCCAGTCATGCGTTAATTAATATAAAAAAAAAAAGCGTGAATTGATCAAGGTATAGATTTAATATATAATCAATATCAGTGTTTCATAAACCTATCGAGTTATATAATAGTACATTAAAACTTGCTACTGTAGATATGATGGATATTAATGATAATTTTATTTTCGATTTAATTCACTACTTATAATGAAAACAATATTAAATTAAGATAAACAAAATACGAGAAAGTAATGATTGAATAGCAACGATGAAAACAAAGAATAGAGCACTTGTTTAAAAAAAAAAAAAAACTTTCTGTTCGAAATGTAAAAATAAATAAGACAGTTCTGACAATCGATTATCTTGGCAACTGTAGGCTATGAGAGATTTTTCACTTTACATATTTTGTATTAGTTTAATGAGACTAAAGAAGATATATGAGTTCTACAACTCAGACCCAAAAGGAGGGCCAGGTTAACAAGCTTGTTTCTGGATTGAGACATATAACATCAAGAGAAAAAAGAATATCATGTTTTTTTTTTGAACAAATTTTAATGAAATCTACTGAATGTTTAACATAATATCGACTTTTGCAAATAAAAAAAAAAGAACGTCAATAATGTGAATGTGTTCAAAAACTGTTAGAGCATTTTTACATATACATCCTTTCTTTTCTTTTCTCTATAACAAACTTTGCACATGTCTCTCTATAGTTGCCTTCATTTTTGATTTTTTTTTATATTTGTTTCTACCGTTATTAATATGTAAATGTCAGGCACTCTCTATTATACATATATACTTTTGCTCGTTCTCACTTTTTTTTTTTACGTATTACAATCTGGCAAATATTTTTCTTTCTCTACACATTCAATTCTTTTTCGATCATTCGTCACAGTCGAACACTTGTAAATAAAAAAAAAAAAAAATTCAATAAGTATGCTTTTTTTATTTTTTTACATTTATTTTACATCAGATAAATCTAATTTTAGATAGATAGCTGATCTGCTCATGGACTTGATAATTGTTCTATTATGGTTTCTTGTATTTTCTGTGATTGTTTTATTTTTGGGCACTTTAAATTATTTTCTTGGACGATCTAATTCGAATGTAATGGTATCTGAAAAACAATCTCAATCTGATGCTATGAATAAACAACAACAATCACAGTCCAATCGTACTAATACTAATAATAATCGTCGAAAACATGCACGAAATGCAAATAAAAAACGACAAAAAGCAGCAGCGGCAACAAATGAAAATTTGAATAGTAATAATGATAATGAAGATAAACAAGAGAAAAAAACAATTATATCTGAAGAAAAGATTGAAGAAGAAGAAGAAGAATCATCAACAGAATCTTCTATACAACAAACTATTGAAGAACAAGACGAAGAATTTAAAGATCCAATTATAATTGAGGATGTATTCATTTCTTCTTGTTCAACACCTATTCCAGTAGAAAAAGAATCAATTTTACCAATTAAACAACGTAACAAAGATAAAAGTAATTATATGAATAGTAAATTACAAAGTCCAACTATTTCAACAAATTGTTCTTCTATACCATCAAAACAAGAATCTATTCTCTTATCCAAACCTCAGGCAAATGTAGCACCTGTTAAACAAACTTTTCCATTAACTACAACAACAAATATTGAATCTACTCAAATTTCAAAAGTTACAAATTCTAAGTCAAATGAAGCGTTATCATCATCATCATCAATATATGACATCTATTCATGTTCTGAATATAATTCTGTATCATCAAGATTTCAAGAACAAGAACAACAACAACAAGATACAGATGCGTTTATTACACAAAAATTTCGTAGAAAAAAATCAACAACGAAAAAATCATCTATCCAAATTGATTCACCTAAAAATCAGAATAATATTGTATCATTAGCATCAAAACAACAAATTAATAATAATAATATTCATTTCGATTTATCTCAACAATCAAATGAACATGAATTATCAAATTATAATGGATATTCATCAGAATCAGATATTTTATCAGGTAGAACTTTTGAACAAAAAAAAAAAAAAAGCTGCTAGCACAATCTCTACATGATTAAAATGTGAAATACGATTTAACTGCTGTTGCTAATCATAGGAAAATTATTTTATTCTATCTATTTTGAAACATATTTCTTCACCATTCAAATAAGGCAATAGTTTATATATAATAACGATATGTTATTGATATACACTCTTTGATTGAATGTAAACAACAATCCGTCACAGTTTGTAACGTCGGGAGTGAGACTAATGTTAATAAGGCATCTGTCACGGTTTGTAATTATATGTTAATAACGTCAGTTGCAATATGTGACGCAGGATGGGGGGGGGGAGGTGTCTGGAATGTTCTCATGATAATATATATCATGGTCTCTGAGGTGTGAATGAGTACAAATTTCTACCCCGTATACTTCAATAGTTCTTTTAGATTGATAAAAAAATTTTTTTTTTTGTCATTTTTATAGGATCACCATCAACAATACTTACGAATAATAATCATAGTTCTTTATCATCAACATCAGTTGAATCTCAATATTTATTAAATGGACATGATACAAGACATTCATTATCAACATCAAATATTTTATTAGATAAATTAGTTTCAATATTTGATAATGTTTCATTTTCATCCGATGAAATTGAATTAATTTTAAAAAAATTAAATACTAAACAATTATTTAATAAACAAGATTGGGAAAATTTATTATTAAAAAAAACAACAAATGATAAAACTATTGAACGTATACTTGAAGAAACATATCATAGTCAAGCAAAAATTCTTGCACTTGAATTACAAATAGAAAAAAATCATGTATTTGAATTAACTAAAACAAATATTGATATGAATAATGCAATAAAACATTTACAACAAACAAATCATAATATGGCACCATATCAACAAACAATTTTATCATATCAAATGCAACTTAAAAGATTAACTGATGAAAATACACATTTAGCTCATCAATTACATACATATGCAATGATGCCAGGTACAATTAATGAACTTAAACAACAACAACATATTCTTGATGAACAATTAAGACAAATTAGTATTAGAAATAGTTCTTTAGAAAAAGAAATAGCTGATGGTGAACGTGCTAGAAAACATGCAGCAGAAATATATCAAAAAGGTAAATATTTTCATTTTATATGAATGATATATATATATGATTATTCTTTTATAGCTGATGCTCAAAAGCAAGAACGAATAGAACAAATGTTTGATGATTTAAATAAATATAAAAAAATTGATAAAGATTTAATTATATTTCAAAAAAAATATAATGAACTTAAAGAAAATTTAAATATTAAATTGGATAATATAACTCAACAACGTGATGAATTAGAAAAAACTTGTGAAGAATTAGAAGTAAAAATTCAACAATATGAACAATTAAAAATAAAATATGATCAATTTATACAAAATGAAACAGAAACAACAAATATTGATCAACTTCAACAAGAATTAAATGAAGTTAAAAATAAAAATGATTTATTAAGACAACGTAATTTGAAAATAACGAAACATTTAAATAAACAATTACAAAAACAAGAACAAAATCAAAAAGATGAATCATTGTAAAAAATAAAGAATTTTTTTTTTTCTAATTAATGATAAAAATAAAAGGATGCATTTTGTGATTAATTTTTAGTCTTTTTTTTTTTTTTTTTTTTTTTTTATTGAATCTTTATTTGTTTTGTTTTTCTCAATATACAACGATCTATTACTACTGATATTATCTATTCATATATATATATATATATATTGACAAGTATTTAGAAAGTATTAACTATATGATTCCATTTTGTGTTTTTATTCTAAACATGTCCAACAATTGTTTTTCTTTTTCTTTTGTTGATTTTGAAAAAGTTTTGTTACTGATTTGTTTTTTTCTCATCAATTAAATTAATATGAATTTGAAGTTTTCTTTTTCTATCTTATAATTCATTTTTTTTATTTTAAATATAGATAATGTTTGCCAATAAGTTTCTATTGATTAGTTTATTAATTTATTGTTGTATAAATGTACAATGTGAAATAATACAATTAACTTCACGTAATATTTCACAATATGTTCAAGATCATGTTACTTTTATTAGATTTTATTCAAATTGGTAAACATTTTAGCAAATAATTTATAACTTATTTTCATTTTTTATTTTTTATTTTGTAGGTGTCCATATAGTAAAAAATTTGAACCAACATGGAAACGTTTTGCTGAAGTGAAAAAGAATACTGATCTTCATGTAGCTGAAGTAAGATTTTAGATATAATTTTCCAATAGAAAAATTCAGTTCAAATCATAGATGTCTATTGCGATGCTGACAGTGCCGTCATGGACATCTCCAGACATCAATCATTCATTTAGTTTATTTAAGTTTTTAGTGATGAGATAAATCATATCAAAGAACTCGAAAAATATTTTTCGCTTGGATTCTCATGAAATATGTATTAGATAATGCTGAATCCAATACTAGTGACGAATGTTTGATTATTTTTGTCTCAATTGTTATTCTCGGATTAAATTTTCTTATTCAAAGAAAATAAAAGGTTAAAATATTGCATAGAAATCATCATGTGAATACTAATAGAAATATACAATGCTAGATATCATGTCACAGGTAAATCTAATGAAAAATTTTAGCAATCAAACGTATGCAAATTTTACCTTTTTTTTCTTTTTATACAAGACTTCTGGATATAATATAAAGTGCTTTTTGTAATTGCTATCCTAACACGTTGTACTTATCTTTTGTGAATGTTCTACTTCCGAAAATAGTCAGTTTCATTTTATTATTACTTTTAGAAATCAATTAAATATGATTCTAGTTTTGCATGAACTGACGATTGATTTAAATCAAACTACAATCGAAATAATTTGTAATATTCAATTTTAAATTTATTAATTGAATTTTTGTCGATTAAAAAAATAAAATCGATTGATTGAATTATTTATTCAATAGATTTTTTTCGGATTATAATTGATTTCAATCCAATTATGATCTAAAGTGGATGATTAAGAGAAAAATTAAGATTTATCTACTGATAATCAAAAATAATCTTGATTTTTATAGGAATATTTTTCATTGGGAAAGCTACAGATTTGAACTTTCCTAGATTCACACATAGTTAATGTATGAAATCAAACGGTGTCTGATTGTCTTTGATTAATAGTTTCACGAAAATTGAGGAATCTTCAATTTCTCAGTTTTTATGTATTACTATTGAAATGATATTAATATCTTATTTAAATCATATAGATCGATTGTTCTGAAGATGCTCTTATATGTTCGGATCATGATATATTCGGATATCCAACGTAAGTTTAGTTGTAAAATATTTTCATTTAATTAATTATTTTTTTTTTTTAGAATGAAATTATTTATGCGTGGAAGTGGTGCACGATATGAAGGACCACGTAATATTGAATCACTTGAGGCATTCTATCGAGAAAAATTAACTGAAGATGCTGATGTATGTTAAAATGATATATATATATATATATATATAATATTTATTCTGTTATTTTATTCTCTAAATTAGTTTGAAGATAGTGTTGCAACGAAAAAAGCTTTTATGGAATTAACTATAGAAACTTTTGCTCACATAATATCGAGAGATTTTACATTCGTTGTCTTTTTTGCTCCATGGTGTGGTCATTGTAAAGTTTTAATGCCCACTTTTCAAGACTTAGCTAGACAAATGATAAATACTGATGGATTAGTGTTTGGAACGGTATTTTTGAATTTTAAAAAAAAATTTTTTTTTTGTTTTTTATTATTTCAAATTTTATTTATTAAGGTCGATTGTACAATTCAAAATAGTCTTTGTTCACAATATGCTATTAGAGGTTATCCAACATTAGTTTGGTTCGAAGATGGTGTTGAAGTATGATTGAAAAGAAATTTTTCATAAAGAACGGATGACGATTTCTTGAAAAATCGATCCAATTGAATCTTAATGATTTCTTCGTATAGAAATAAAGAAGATAATGATAGAAACTATATTAAAGTGATTTTAGTAGATGGTTACAGACTTAGGACACGATCATCATTTATAAGAAAAAAAAGCTGCAAACATGTTTGGAGTCAAGAAAATTTTGTTCAAATAGACAAAAACATCATTTGTTTTTTGGCCGGTATTCAGCGATTTTGGTCCTTACAATCATCTTTTTTTAATCAAAACAGATAGCATATTTGGAATTAACACAAAAAATGGCGTCAATCTATGTATGCTTCAAACGTTTCTTGTAACTTTTATTTTCGGTTGAAATTGGAGCTCTGATCTACCTGAGGACTGTCTCAAAAAATAAGTTGAAAAATACAAGTTATGAGAAACGTTTGAAGCATACATAGATCGACGCCATTTTTTGTGCTAATTGTTGGCAGCTTTTTTTTCTGATAAATTACACATAAATTTAAATTCCATGGAAAGTTCTATCGATTGATATAAAATTTAGAGTGAGCAAACTGTAGTTTAGTATATAAGACGGTTTATACAAAATGCTAGTACCACGTTTTAATACTAGTCAAGTATTTCAACAAGAATTCTGTTTTTCCTTACATTTCTGTTAAATGATTATTATAGGCTTGTATTTAATCGTTCAGTATTTTATTATGAATGTTCAGTAAGTTTTTTAATAGATGTTCAGTAAAAAAAATAATTTTTGTTCAGTAATTAATTTAAAAGTACTCAGTAACTAGTTTAAAAATGTTCTGTATGTAATCTATTTTTGTTCAGTTTTTTATTATTCTACTTCAGTTAACAGTGTGTGTGAGTGTTAGTCCGTTCTGATCAATAACATCGAGATCAACACCTACACCCATACCCCACACCCCACACTCCACACCCTCTATAGTTTCATTTGCATTCATCTTGTCGTCAGAAACATAAGTTGAAACTTCAACAATTTCTAAGGTCGTTTCCATTTTAAGATCAAATTAACAATAGCAATTATGGTTAATCAAAATTTAACTTATTTAAAAGAAACGAGCTATTTATATAGGAATAGACAAAGGAACAAACAAGGAAACGATATCGAGAATCTTTTTCACCTTTGTTACATTGTGAACAAAAGAGAGAATACAATGTATTCATCTTTATATGTAACTCTAAAAGATCGAACAACTATACTAGAACAGAAAAAGTAAGTTAAAAAAAACCATGGCAATGATAAACAATACAACTTATATACACAATTATCGAGAGTTACAATATAACATAGTATGTTGACTTATGATGTTGTCATCATTCAATATAAACAATTGCTCGTCTATTTAAATCAAAATATTTTCATAGAACAAAATAAGTAAATTACTAATAATAATACTAACTTTTACTGAATAAATGAATTTTTTAATCAGCAAACTGAATTGATTACTGAAACTTTAATTTTAATACTGATCAATTTTGTTATTTTACTATGCAAGCAATAAATTAACTGAATAAACGAAATAGTTACTGAACGTTTGATTTCTTTACTGAACATTTAATTTGTTCGCCATTATTATATAGGTGTTTGAAGTATTTCTCACGATCTATCTATCAGTATATAATTCATTTAGTTGGTATTAATTAACAAGTATATACATCAAAGAACAAGTGGAAATTTAATAATCAGGATTCTTTATGTAATACTTAGAAAATTGAAAAGGTGATCGCGTCCTAAGTTTGTAAACACCTACTAAAATCATTTTAAAAATATAAGATATAGTTTCTATCATCATCTTCCTTATTTCTATACGAAGAAATCATTAAGATTCAATTGGATCGATTTTTCTCAAGAAATCATCACTCGTCCTTTGCAATTAATATCGAATGAATGGTTTTTTTTTTTTTGTTATAGAAAGATCGTTATATGGGAGCACGAGAATTAAATGCAATGCGAAATTATATTGAACAAAAAATGTTACAAGCTACGCCAATAACTACAGAGGCACCACCAGTAGTTCAACATGAACAAGAACAAACAATTGAAGAATCTTCTGAAGTAAATTATAAATAAATAAAAATAGAAAATAAAAATTTTTTTTTTAAATTTCTTAGATAGATAATGTTCTTAATACAAAAACATTTACACAAGGAATTAGTTTTGAAGGTTATGCATTTGTTAATTTTGGTGCACCATGGTGTTCACATTGTCAAAAATTAGCACCAATTTGGAATCGATTTGCACAAAAATTTTCTCGATATGAAGATATACGTATTTTACGTGTTGATTGTACAGCAAGTGAATCATTATGTCGAGATTATGGAGTATGTTTTCTATATTATTCTATTAATAAACTTCTTATATGTATATATATATATATTTGTTTTTTAATTAGATACGTGCTTTTCCAACACTGATTTTATTTCGTTATGGAGAATCAAAAGTTGAATATAATGGTTCAAGAGATTTTAATTCATTATATAATTTTCTTGTTAGTCAATTAGAATTTTTCGGTGATGATTATTTATTAAAACAAGAAGATGAAATTAAAAATGACTAAGAAAAAAAACTTTAAAATAATTACATTGTTATTTTTTTTTCTTTTTGTATTTATGTAATAATGTTGGTTTTTTTTTCTCATTTGTTTTTTTATTTCAGTGTGAGAGTTTGTTTTATATTACAGCTAAGTTAATCTATGGAAAATAATAAAAATATTTTAAGAAAGAAAGAAAGAAAAAATGTCTTTTTTTGTTTGTTTGTTAGAAACAGATCATTTAGATGCTAACATCTAAATCTGAGAAATGATAAGAGCAATTCATAGTTCATAGAATTTGATATTTGAGTCGTTTTTATTGGTTTCTTTTGCTTTTTTCAATGACAATGAATTGTAACAATGATAAATAAACTTGGACAAAGGAAAATATTCATCAGCATCTGTATCTTTTGAACAAAATAATATTGTACATAGAATCTAAAGAACAACATAGACTAACGAGGGAACTTCTACAAGTATCAAATCGCTTTTCGATCGAGACAATGTTCATTTGATGAGTGTTAGTGAGTAATAGAATAGTCTAGAATGGTTTGATTTTCTGGGCCTTCGTTCTTGAGATATCGAAGTTTTGCTAGATTTTCAATTCTTTCAAGTCACGTGAACAATCGAATTTCGATATCAAACTTCATACGAACAAAATTCTTAATGAGATTAGTTAATTGCGTAACTAGTATTTCTTTTCTAAAGATGTAAATATATATATGAACAAAATTTGCTTGTACACATGAGAAAATTTTTAATATTGAACAATTGAGAATAGGATATACTAGAAAAAGTTACAACTTACCCAATGAACCAATCTCTTTAAGAACTTTGTTCGTATAAACTTTAAAATCCGAACTCAAAAGTCGATTTTTCAAGTTATCTGAGAGGAAGCATAGCTTTTTATTGAAAAAAATCAGCAAAATTTTCATATATCAACAATGAAGGGTGAGAAAAGCAAATCATTCTAGACTTTTTTATTATTCATTAGTACGTATCAAATGAATATCGTCTCCTCCGAAAAGCAATTTGACACTTGGAGAGATTCCCTTGTGAATGTACAATGATTTAAATAAAATAATTTGCACACGACATCATACATACATGTAAGATATTACAACAATTACTTTCTCATCAAATGAGAATAATAACGTTTAAATATAAACAAAAATTCTCGGTCTAATTTTTCTTTGATAAATTCTAATAGAGAAAACTGTTTAATAAAATAACGTACGTTAATATTTATTATCATTTTTCTTTTCGATCGAACACTCATCTTCGAAAAACTAATTTTTCTTTGTGTTAAATTAAAATCAATATCCAACATTTGATTATTAATTTCGCACGTTTTGTTGAATAATATATCAATACAATTTGTGAAATGATATATAGAATAAAAAATAGAAGAGAAGAATATTAATCAATTTCACAATGAAATTATTTCATTGATTTAAAATAAAGTATTTTTCGATTTTGTCATCTATATATATATCAAACAGTAAACTTTTATGAGTACATGTGAAAATTTTTGAAGTATAATCTATTATCCTTGTACGGAAAATATAATTGTATACACCGGATTCATGAAATTAAAACCTAATAAAACCACATGAATGACTGAAAACAATGAAATATCATATTTTCTACATGATAAATAGAAAAATGTACTTATTGAATTTACCGGAATAGAAATTCAGTCTAGTAAAAAAAAAGTAAGTCATGAATCAAGCGACAAAAAAACTAAGATCTCCGTTTTCGTCAAATAGTTCTCATATTTTTTTTAATTGATTATTAAAATATTTCCGCTTAATTATATTCAGATATATAGAGAATAGAATAAGATTCTTTAAATTCAACAAACAATATTCCATACAATCAAGCCTTTTTTTGGTTTTTTTTTCTTTGCTATACAACGCATATTAATATATTACTGCTCAATGATTTAATGATGAGTAATACTTTGAAATTTTAACTAAGAACAAAAAATATTTGTTCCATAGATAATTGAAATCATTTATCTATGAAATTAATTTTTCATACAATGAATTTTTTTGTATTTTAATGTAATTTTAATTGATGAATGATATTAATTTCTATTAATAGAATTTAAATTCCACTGAATGATTATCAATTTAAAAAAAACCAGAGATTATTCATGGATATAATTTTAATAACTTACTCATAGCTTTAACTTAATTCTGATAATTTACTTTTTAAATAAAAAGTCGACTTATACTAAATATAGTTTACATCAATCAAAGTGCTTAAGATTTATTTTCATCTATATTAAGTAGAAATTTACTAAGATTTATCTGACTATAAATAGATAGAATAAAAATAAATTTTTATAAACTAAGTAAGAAACTTGACTAGATTTTTCAAGTGATCTAATTGATCAATACAACAATTGTAGTTTTTGTTTTTTTTGTATGAATATATAAACGTAAAATGATTTATATCAATTCGAGCAAAATATGATATATATGTTTATTCCCAAAAGAAATTATATGAATCGAGTAAACATCCCATTTGTTATAGTTGTAATAAGAATGTATAAATAGAAAATTTTTATATTTGTAATATTATTTGAACATTCAAACATTGATAATAATAATCTGATTTTTTTTTAAAAATATACATGTAAATTTCTTAGTTTACAAAGAAGTTGGAAACAATATTTATCAAACATGTCTTTTTTTTTTTTTTTTTCTTCAATAAGAAATTTCATCAGAGTCTAATTGAAACTATTTTTAATTATGATTATATAATTATTCTATTATTTTCTTATAAGAAGAAAATCCTGACAAAGACGATTATTCAACAGGTCATTTCTTTTTTGTCTTATCGATATCCTGGCATGTCTCTTTTTTTTGTCAAACTATATATATATTAAATAAAATATAAGGACAAAAAAGATATACTTCATAATGAATTTAATAATATATATATCAATAAAATTAAAAACATACTTATTCTTATAAGTATTAATAAAAATTTGTCGAAGACAACTTTTGATATATAATAGAGTTCTATAAAAATTAAATTTACCGACTTTTCTTTCTAAATTTCTCATGATTAATATTTTCTACATGCAGCTGTTTGACATTTGCAAGATTTCTTTTCTCGATAAGAAAGATAGTACTGTTTTGACATTCTAATGTGTACTCAAAACAATAATATAAAAACAACCATAATAAGGATAACACATACTGACAGAAATCATAATATAAGTAATAGGATGATGTACTGTATACTCTTTGTTAGTTTCGTGTTAATAAATTTTAGTCAATCACATATTATTCAAGCAACAAAACCTATAAATCAAACTTGTCTTAATTTTGGTCATGCAAATGATTGTTATTTTTATAAATGTTTTGAAGAACGTTTTCCATGTGGATCAACATATTGGATATTAAAATGGGGTGAAAAATATTGTACACGTATGCAAAAATTTTTATTAAATTTTGATAAAAATGGTCAAGAATTAATTAAAAAAATATCAATATGTTTAACAAATAAATTAATTAATTTACGTTATTATACAATGAATAAAATTAATTGTGAAAAATTACAATTAGCTGGACAAAGAATTGTACGTGAATGTTATATGAATAATTCAAATTTATTTTGTAAAGCATTACAAGGAAAAAATCGTAATTGTTTTTTTGAATTAATTGATAATGAAGATCGACATGATTTAACTATTGTACGTACATTATTAAGTGTTGGTCAAACATGTACACCGAAAAGAAAACTTACTGATATGAGATCAACTGGTAAAATGAATCAATGTATATCTTCGCCTATGTTATTAACTTAAACATGTATATACTCACAATTTTTGGAAATCAATTGGAATACATCATACATTTGAATATTTATTCGAGAGATATATTATTTCAAGCATATGTTTCTTTGTTTTAAATTATTTGTTAAAATAAATATTATAACTTTTGTTATTATACCAGAAATTTTCTTCAAAATACAAAAATAAATAAATATGAATGTTTCAATTTTATCTATAATACACTGTGACATGCATATTATTTGTATAAATAATTCTTAAAGATGAATTTCATTTTATTTTTATAGTTTTACTTAAAATATTCTAAGAGTATCTGTTATTTCTATACAATTAAACTAATTGTTAATATTTTATATTGATTCTGTTTTTTGCAAAGAGAGAATATATAAATATATCTATGAGTTCTGTTTTCAGTGATGTTTATGTTTATATGAGCATGATGAAAGAATAGAGACGAAATCCAGAAGAGATCAAAGAAGATAACAATAAGGCAATAGACAAAAAGATAATTATTTTTCTTTTGTTTGCATCTAAACAAAATAATTTTCTTTGTTTAGTTGTGTGTTTTCTCTACAGAAGAAAATAATGTCTCGATAGAGAGAAATTGAAATAGAGAGAAAAGAGAAAAATAGAAGAAGAAAAAAAGATCTAGTTAAATAGTTGTAGATTGACTCTAGAATGTTTATTATTGTAATATTGTTCTTTTCGAGCGCATATCTCAATTATCATTTATCTTTATTTTACGTGTTGAAACTTTTGTATTTCTCCTAATTAGCTCATTTAGATCTTGAGATATAGTCTGTTGTTTTCGATTCTCTATTTGTTGCATGCTGATTTTGATTATTCCATTCCTGATTTTTTTTCTCTGGTTATACTCTTGTTTGTTTCATTATATACTAATTATGATTAGTTCAAATAATCTTTTAAACAGAATAGATTTTTTTCTCCTAAAACAATTATTCTTCTATATCATAGAGTACCTCTTGAACATTCCTTTCTCAGAAGGGAAGACTTGTATCATATATGTAGTTAACTTTTTTTCTCATCACTTATACATGATATTATAAGTACTTGAGAAAAGCTTAAGAATGTTGGATAGAACATAAGCACATATATACTATTTCAACTCTGACACCTGATTACTTTTCATTCATAGTCTTAGATAATAATAATGATTATTATTACTCTTATTGTTCTTTCATTACCTACACACAATATTAATCTCATAATCTTTTATACTTACAATGCATAGGACCTAGAAATCTAGACATTAGTAAGTTCTAAAAGAATTTGGTGTCTTTATTTAATGTATATAAAAATAATTATGTTAATAGTTCAATGAATAAATATTCTTTCTAGTTTATTTAGTAGGATAGATTCAGTTAAAAATTCTAATGTCTATGAGAAATATCAAAAACAATGATTAATGTTGACTTTTTTTTCTTCTAATGATAGAACTTGAACACATTAAAAAAAGAAACATTTATATCAGCATCAATGATTTTTCTAGTCACTTGTTAAGTTCATGTAATTGAGTAATAAACTATATAGACATTATTATCATTTTGTTTTTTTCTTCTTTGAAGTCTTTTTTTTTTCCATTATATTACGTCAAGTAAGGATAATATTCTATCTAATATCTTTTTTTGCTATGTAACTTTTACTCTTTATTTCATGTTAGTTCTCATAATATAAAAAGTTAATCAATCATGAACATCTGCTGTTCTGCCAAATCCCTATAGGTTAACAGACTTGAGCTATATTATTTTTTCTGCTAAGATATGATATTAAGAAGTTTCATCATCTTTATGCTGTAGTTAGTAAATAAGATGTACTATTGATGACTATAAGAAAAATCAAATAATGAAAATACAGGTTAGTTGTATACATTGAATTTGATGTTGCTATACTAAATGATTTAGAAGATAATGATAAATTAATTTCGTAAGTTGTTATTTTTATTTTATTTCTATTTTCTATGAAAGTTAACATTTATCTATTACAGTTAATAATTTGACAAATAAATCAAAAAATCTCTATATGAAAAATATATATATATATATATATTTGATCATATTTTAGATAAGTAATCGATTGTTCTTTTTTTTTCTTTTGTGCACGTATATTATATCAAAGAAGAAAAGAAAAAGAAATTAATAAAGAATGTCAAACATTTCATCATTAGAAGCATCATTAAGAAATTTTCCCAAGATGCCATCAACTGTTTCAACTAGAGAGCATTCCTTTTTATCACAATTTATGATGAGTATAACCATAGTTATTCTTCTCATTGGCTCTTGTCCGTATGTCTCATCTTCACCAACATTCACTGACCATAATAATAAAATCAATTATGAATCAAATGGATTTATGCTTAATCCAAATAATTATCAAGGAGTATCAGCAGCAGGTGAATCATCATTATTATCGCCAACCGTCCAACATTCATTTTCACCATTATTATCATCATTGCGCTATACACAACCACGCACATATGCCAATCAATTTTTAATGTCGCATATTGATGACAATCATGTAGTTATACCAAAATGGTCTCCAAGATTTAATAATTATGATCAAACAAATGATGATCATGACGATTTAGATGATTATTTTCCATCGGCTATGTTATTGAATAAGCGAGCAAAATTTAATTACAAAGGAAAGATCCCACCAGTATACAAACGTAAACAATTAACAAAACCACCTATGGAAGTCTTGAATGAAATTGTCAATTCTATTTATCTTAAACGTTAGAGACTATTTAAAATCAAATAAAAACATACATATATTTATTTATTTATTGAAATGTATTAATTAAAATGTTTAATAAAATAAAAAATAAACAAAGAGAAAGCAATATGCTAACGACTTTCATTTATATTGATTGAAAATATAGATTTTATCATTGAATTTATCTTTTAAAAGAAGAAAAAAGAAAGGAATTTTCACACTTTTTTTTCTCATCATTATTGAGTTATATGACATTTATTTATTATATTATCAAAGTAATATTTTAATTATTAATTTTAGTTGTCTCTAAGTATTCATATGTGAGGTCACGATATATTAGAAACATTTTGATCTTTGTATAGATATTTTTCTCAAAGATAGAAAAAAAACGGAAAAACATGACAATTTTGCATACGCTTTGTTCAAACGTCTTTAGGAACAGGAAATCATTCCTTCTTTCAAATCAATGAAATAAAATTACAAATGATTTCTTCTTTTGTTTAGATGTATAACAAAGATTATAATACGTATAAGATTTTAAAGATATATAAGTGACATAGTTGTTGGCAAATAGATGTAAGTCAAACAGCATAAGTAATATTTAAGTATTTCTTCAAGCGACGATGATATTTGCAATGTTGTAATGATTTGATATATGGAAAAATAACTTTTCTTTTTGTCGAATAAGCAAATTTTACAATGAAGAAAGAGAAGCCATAAAATATTGGTTTAGAATTGAGAATTTTATGTTCGTTTCGAATCTATGTTTGAAATTTTCCTTACATTCATATTTTATTAGCTATGAGCGAATCTACAGAGAGTCTAAAAATAAAGTTTGAATAAGTTTTTAAGGTGCAAAAAAAAAGTGTAAAATAGATGTCAAATTTATTTTAATTACATCAAAAGAAAGAATAGACATTTTTCTATCAAATAATATGTCGATGAGTACGTTTCCATGAAACATTTACCAACAATGAAAACTTTGACAAGAGACACAGTGACATTTTCCCGATTCCGTAGTTTCCATACTTACAAAATGCATGCACTTAAATCTAGAGCATCGTTTCAAGAACCTCGATTTTTAACGCCTTTGTAGAACATGATTTTGCTGGCCATATTGTATAGAAAATTGCTATTAGAACATATGCAACAGCGGACGTCGTTTGCTGAGAGGAACGTTTATTCTCTAAGCATTGATTCAGAAAATATTATTCAAAGCGTGATGCGGTCAAATGAAAGGAAATGAGACTTAAAGAAAATTAGTATCTCGACGCTAGAAATATGAAATTGCTGAAAAAAACATCATAGAAATAATTGCCAATGGGATGCAATTGTATTCTTCGATTATGAATTTCTTAATTTTGCAACTGTCTTCATCCGAACTTTATTTTTACATCTTTCAAAGATTTGCTCATAACTCAACAAATACGAATCTAATAAATATTTCGAATGTAGATTTAGCAAGAACACAAATTTCTGTGGATCATCGTAACCATTCGGAAAATAAAAGAGATTATTTAGTCTCAAAACTTTCGATCCATCCATTATTATGATATTTATTCTATACTTTTATTTCATAAGAACTAAATTTTGTTTCTTTTCAATAATTTATCAATAAAATTTCGAATACTATTTTGATTTACTATGCAAAATTAAATATTTTCTTTTGTCAGATATAAAAAACATATATCGATCGAAAGTGACATCTATATCCTATATCAGAATGAAAAAATTAATAAAATTCCTCAATAATAATTTTTCTGAAATAGATCTCCAACAATGATTTCAAAAAAAAGAAACTTTTAATAAACATTACATTTCTCATCTTATGCAATTTGTCTAATCGATATACTTTTTATATTATGATTCGTGTTTTAATATTCCATCTTATACATTAAAAAAAAAATGTAAATAGTATCTTTTTACATGTACCCATTCAAATAAATTCATATTTTCGAAATTTTTTATTCTTGTCAAATTTATCTAAATGTTTATTTTAATTTAGATCTTTGTTTTTGAATATACATAGTTAATATCATGGGCCCAAAATTCGATCCAGCAGCTGTTTATGAAAGTATTTTAATCTTCTATAAATTATTTACTTTTTTTTTTTTAATAATGTTCGATATTTATAGTTATGGTCCGTGTCACTGGTGGTGAAGCACCAGGTGGTTCATCTTTGGCTCCTAAAATTGGTCCTCTTGGTCTCGTAAGTATTCGAAATTGTATTTTTTTCATGACAATCATTTTATAGTTTTGTTTTACAATGAATAGTCTCCAAAAAAGGTTGGTGACGATATTGCTAAAGCAACAGGTGACTGGAAAGGCATGCGAGTAACAGTAAAACTTACTGTACAAAATCGTAATGCGAAAATTGATGTTATACCTTCTGCTTCATCACTTGTTATTAAAGCACTTAAAGAACCACCACGTGATCGAAAGAAACAAAAAAATAGTAAAGTTTTATTTAATTTATTTAATTTATATTTATTTATTATTTAGTTAAACATGATGGTAATGTTTCACTTGATGAAATAATTAAAATTGCACGAATAATGCGACCACGTTCATTAGCTAAAACATTTGATGGAACTGTGAAAGAAATTCTTGGTAAATATCTATAAATTGATATTATTTTTTCAATATTATTGAAATAAAATATTTTTATTTATAGGTACAGCTCAATCTGTCGGTTGCAAAGTAGAAGGTTCACATCCACATGATATTATCAATCAGATAAATAACGGTCAAGTGGATGTACCACGAGAGTAAATGACACAAAAAAGAAAACACATACAAACGTTGTTTTTTTTTGTTTTAAAAGAAAAATAAATAAATAAGAAGATATCATTATGACTTTATTCAAGTTATGCTACACGTCTTTCAATGAAAATCTACTTCTTTTTTTTAAAACAAAGTCGAAATGAAATTGGATTTATTGAAAAGGATAAACATATACTTTTACGAATTTCTACAATCGAATGCGTGACTTCGCTACAAACTTTCGAATAATTTAGCTATAGATGATATTCGGTGAATAGACTGAATATTCTCATACGATCCAAATCCGACAAAAACTGCGTGTAGATCGTTCGGTATAATGTACGTTATACCGACGATAGTTTAATAATTAAACGGTCGACTATTTTCTGTCTGAGAATCTGCTGTCTATATACTGGTTGTTGTGCGAATAAACGTATAACATGCGTATATAAAAGACGAATTCAGCTATGAGAAAGATCAATAATGATGAACATACATACGAGGAATAACTTGTTGTCATGATCACTTCATCTTATTGCAGATTCAAAAGCTAGAAGAAAATCAATTATTCTCAATGTTGATATGATCTAAGGAATAATAAATCATTTTTTGTTTCGAGCTTGGTAAGATTGAATGAAATAAAATATATCACTGAAAAAGCAAAACATCGGATTCAGAGAAGTCAATTGATTTTAGTGTCAAAGTGTACTTCAAAAATTTTTTATAACAATCATCCAAGAATCTCCACTGGAATTGATGATCTATCGTGAATTATGATACGATGGATGTGATTTTGTCGAGCAATTTTTGATATGCTGAAGCTACATATACTGATTATAATCCTTAAGGGGACTCCCCCCCCTTTCCGGCGTTTTTAAGAAACGGCCGAACGAAAATTCCTGAAACTTGCAGGGTAGATAGACCTCGAGTAGTAGAGCAAAAGTTGTCATAGACACAAATTTGCCAGATGTCATCTTCATGGACTTCCAGAGACCCCAAGGTCAAAAACTTGCAAAAAGTTTTCCCCCCCCGCAAATCCACAAATTTCATCCGTTTGAGCTGAAATTTTTGCTGTGGGTAGACGGACCCAATCGGGGTGGGCGTTTTTTTTTTTTTTCAAAAATTCCAAATACTTCAGGCTGGAGAACCAAAATACTGAGCACCTTGCAAAATCTCTAGGTTTTTTGGATCCTAAAAATTTTGCGAAGCCTGCCAAACTTGATTGGTAGAAGGTATCCAAAAAAAAAAAAAAAACGCCCAACCCAAATCACTTGAAGTCTCACCAAAACAATTTTCAGCCCGATCGGACTTGAAATGGCGGAGAAAAAGGGGGAAAACTTCATTTTTTTGCTGAAAAAACTGATTTTGAGAAAAACGCAAAGAAATTTGTGTTTTTTTGGTTTTTTCAGCATATTTTGTGATTTTTTTCGAATTTTTTATATATAAGATGTGGTTTTTCGGTTCTCAGATGTACTCAATGGATAGAGGGCATTCAAATCTATATACTAATCACAAAAAATGAAAAATGAAAAATGTGAAAATTTTGAGTCGGGAAAGGGGGGGGTCCCCTTAAGGAATATATATGGTTGTTATAGACATTTTGCTCCCTAAGATGCAAATTTTGTTTTTAAACTTAATTCAATATTGTTATAGATGCTCTTCAATTTTCTATGATCAATAGTTTTCGTCGTTGCGTTCTTCATATCTTAAAATGGTTCCTTTTCTTATGTCTAGATCATTTCTTGACTATATGATATTCCAATGTGATCAACTCTGTGTCGCAGAAAAAGTAATTATCAACGTGAAACTTTCCAAAAAATTGTAGACTATCGAACTCTATATATTTCACAGATAATATCTTTCAAAATATCAAGAACACATTGTCAACTTGCAAGATTGTTCTGTAGAACAGCCTATTTTCGTTTATTAAGAAGTCAGTATATTAACGATATTTTAACAACACTCAACATTCGTTTTTTTTGGTCTCTAAATGAGAATGCAAGGATAAGGAAAAATTCATTGTTGAAATAAACATAAGATAGTTAGAAAGTCTTTTAGAGTTTCATACATAAATTAAACCTGAATACTCAGGATAAAAATTTGAAAAAGAAATAATAAAAATAATAAACTTCCTTTCTGTAACCATGTTCTCGTTCCTTTTGAGAGGTCGCGAGGCCAAAAAAGTATTTTCCGTTTATAAAGGAGTTATTTAATCAATTCATCAAGGATGCACTGATGACTATTGGTATATAAAAATTTTTAATACGATTGCTAAGTATTGTTAAAATATCGTCAATATACTGGCCCCTTCATAAATGGAAATAGGCTATTCTACAGGACAATCTTGCAAGTTGACAATGTGTTTCTGATATTTTGAAAGATGTTATCTGTGAAATATATAGAACTCAATAGTCTGCAATTTTTCAGAACGTTTCACATTTGTATTCACTTGTTCTGTAGCATAGAGTTAAGCACACTGGAATATCATATAGTCAAGAAATGATCTACACAGAAGAGAAGGGACCATTTTTAGGTATAAAGAAAGTATCGATGAAAACTATTGATTATAGAAGATTGAAGAGAATCGATTACAGTATTGAGTTGAATTTAAAAACAAAATTTGCATAAGTTTATCTTGAAACATCTTATAGATGACAATGTCTATGAGTACCATATATATTCTTCAAGGATTAGAACCAGTATATAGAGCCTCAGCACACTCAAATTTGAAAAAAACTTGATTTTTGATACACGATTCGATGCACCACAAATTGCTCTACAGAATCACACATATATGATGTCGTGGTAAAAAAAAATCTTGAAATCAAATATAGACGTATGCAGAAATTAATATCGAAAGGAACTGTCAAAGGAGATACATTCATTTCTATCTATAATCATCGATCTTTTATTACTCCATATTGAAAAAAAAAGACAAAAGAAAAATCGATAGTCAATTAAAATCTTCTTTTTCCAATCAACAATGATGACTGGATTGTCAACACAATCTATTCTTGTGCTTATCTAATGTTGGACCAGACTATATAAAAACCCAATGTAAAATCTGTCGTTTAATTTTCAGAAACCAAGCCCATTTTTGAAAGCTTTCAACAGTAGCCTATCGATTTGTATTACAAAAATTTCTTTGGTGTTTTTTTATATGATACCAAGACATTCTATTCTGATAAAAGCTTGATTATTTTCAATTTTAGAGAAAATATTCATTTGGTCGATAACAAAATTTTTTATTCAAAAACAACGGTTGAATATTAGCAAAAATGAATGCCTTCAACATTGAATGCATGCAGCAATCTAAATAAATAATTCAAATAAAATAATAATAAAATCAATAAAAAATTTTCCTACTCAAGAAAATCATCAAGATCCATATGTCTTGCACGTTTATCAGCAAATTGATTTGTTGTAAGAATTTCTTGAATTTTTGTTTTTGTATCAAAATCATTTGGTACAGTCTAAAAAAAAAAAAGATTTTTTTTTTGAAATAGAATTTTTCTCTTTTCTTTTTTGTATGACTTTATTATGAATTGAACAATGAATTCGATAATTTTTTTCTAATAATTCAATAACTTTCTTTTGTCTAAAAATATACAAAAAAAAAAAAGAAAATTTTTTTATCTTTGCATAAAATTTTCAAAAATATTTACTTGAATTCTGATGATAAACATTTATTTTTTCTTGTAAAACAAATTCGTGTTAATCCATCCCATTCCTCAAATGCAAAAATAATTCATAATAAAAAATTAATTAATTAATGACATTTTTTTTACTTGATAATTAACAGCTGGTGGTGGATTTTTTGGTTCTATTCTTACAACACTTGATTCAACTTTTGGTGGTGGTCGAAAATTATTTTTTCCAATCTAAAAAATATTTTATTTCTATAAATAATAAAATAAATAATCAATACAAACTTTCATTAAATGATCAACACGAGCTAAAAGTTGTGTATTAACTGATAAACGACAATAAAGTTTTTCACCAGGTTTAGCAACAAGACGTTGTGCAAATTCACGTTGAAACATAACAATTGCACAACGAAATATTGGTCGATGTAAAAGTAATTTAAATACAAAGGGACTTGAAATCTAAGCAAGACAAAAAAAAAAGAAAAAAACAGAATTTTTTTTTTTTTGGTTGTTATTTATTTTACTTGATATGGTAAATTAGCAACACATAAATCAAAAAATGGTAATTCACTTTTTAAAATGTCACCAATAACAATATCTAATTTTGACTTAAATGGTCTAATCAATCAATAAAATAAAATAAAATCATTCAATAGGAAAGAAAATACTTACGTTCCTTGAACTCGTTTTTGAAGTTCAGCAACAAGACGTGGATCAATTTCATAGGCAATAACCTATTTATTAAGAATCAAAATTTTTTATAAGTCATTTTTATTTCAATTACTTTTTTTGCTTTTTCCAAGAGACGTATAGTTAAATTACCCGTTCCAGGACCGACTTCAACAACAACATCAGTTGGACGGATAGCTGCCTATTTGAAAAAGAAATTCTTTGTTTTTTTTCTTCTTTTAATTATTAAAATACAAGAATTACTTTGTCAACCATACTGGTTATAATAAGAGGATTTTTCAGAATATGTTGACCAAAATCTTTATTAAAATTGATTCCTATATACGAACAAACAATGTTAAATAATCTCGATAAATTAAAAAGTAATCTATACCTTCTTTTTGAATTTCTTTATGAACTCGACTTTTTTTTTGTACACGTTCTTTCGGCATGTTTCTTTTTTTTCTCTATCTAAAAAAAAACACAGTATAGTGAATAATAGGATTTAAAAGGATAAGGACAAAATGGGACATTCGTTTTCTTCATCTACATATACATGAATCCAAAAAAAAAAAGAAAAGAGGAAAACAACTAGTCTCTGAAAGTGTCCTTTTAAATCACCAACGTGTTTTAATTGATGTGTCAACATATTCTTTATATTTAGCATTTTGAAGTTGGGCCTTAAATTTAGCTAAACGTTCTTCATATGGTGGTCCAAAAAATGGATTTCCACGTCTCCAATGATGTATATCCCACCAACCAGCACGTGCATTGACATTGGTTACATAACCAGCATGAGTTGCATTATAAAGACCAACTGATATTCCTCCAAGTATATATGCCATTGGAATTGATATTCCAACAAAACGAGAATTTCTTATCCACATTGCTGTTATTAAAACACCTGATAATCCACCAACAAGTGCTGCATCAATATCACGACCAGTTTCTGTTTGTTGATAACCACGTAAAGCACGAACAATTGGCCATGAACCACAATAAATAAGACATGATGCAGTAAAAAATGCACATGGACGAAGTGCACGAAATATAGCAGCATTAGCAGGAATTTGATATCGAGTACGAAGATTATGATAACGAACTAAAATAAATAAATAAATAAAAACTTTTTCAATAAGATTTATCTTACCAGCATATATAAATACGGATGCTTTTAAACCTAAACCAAGACCAGCTGCTAAACGTTGAGGAATTGGTGCATCAACATCAAGTGACCACATGCCTGTTGATGTAAATTCTTTTAAATATTCCCATCCACTATCACTCCATAAAAATCGTGCTGCAATACGTGTTGGTGCCCAACGATAATAATGCCAATAATAATCATAACTTAGGAAAAAAAAAGCAAAATATTTTAATGAATTGAGAATAGAAAAAAGAAAATAAATAAATATCTTACAAATCTTTAAATTTTTCAAGAATAAATCCACCTGATGGACGATGAGGATGGTTTGGTAAACGAATTGGATAAGAACCTGTTGTTGTAGTAAATTCACTACTACCAATTGTTTCATTTGTTGGTTGATTACTCGCTACTTGCGAGTTCTCATTAGATTTTGCTTTTTTGTCGTCAGGCATAATTAAAGGAAACACGAATGAATCCTTCAAAATAGTCTTTTCTTATTTTTAGTTATTGACTAAATTGAGCTATACAATATTGTGGAAAGAATCTTGGCCAATTATAGGCAAATATTTTTTTCGATAGAGGCGCCACAAAGCAATTACTCACAAGAAAAAAAATATAAATATTTTTTATTTTTCTATCTGCTTATATGACAACACAAATCTATTCGTCTTCCATTCTTTCGTTATCTCGATTTTGTGCTCGTCGTGCATATTTCGTAAAACGTTTTGTTACAACCACTATGACATCTTCTGACGATTCATCTAAAACAAAAACTTCTGATAAAAAATCAGATAATTCATTAGCAAAACGTTTTATTGGATTAGAAAAAAGTATTTGGTAATCAAATTTGAACCAATCTTTCAATTTGTTTTCATATATCGAAGATTTCTTTTAGGATTGAATTTGGTGCATTAGCTATTGCACATAAAGCTATAAATGTAGGTCAAGGTTTTATTGATTATGCACCACCGCCTTATTTTATTGATTTGTATAAAGAAACTCTTGATGATCCTAATATACTTTTACATCAATATACACGTGGATTTGTAAGTTTAGTTTCTATTTTTCTAATTTATAATAATAAATCTTTTAAAAACAATAGGGTCATCGACGATTAGTTGACGCTATTTCAAATGTTTATTCACCATATTTTAATCGAAAAATCGATCCATTAAATGAAATTCTAGTCACTGATGGTGCTTATCCATCAATTTTCAATTGTATTCATGGTTTTATTAATTCTGGTGATGAAGTAAAATATCTTTCATCATTTCTACAATGTTTTCTGAAGCTCATAAACATCTCTAGGCTATTCTAATAGAACCATTTTATGATTGTTATGAACCAATGGTTCGTTCAGCTGGTGGTATTCCACGATGTATAACACTTAAACAGGTACTTTGCATTATACTTTTCAAAAAAAAAAAATTTTCCTTAATTATATCTAGAAACCTGAATCTACTAAAGCTGATATTTCATCAAGTTCTGATTGGACACTTGATAAAAATGAATTAGAATCAATGTTTAATTCTCGTACTCGTCTTATTATTGTCAATACACCAAATAATCCTACTGGAAAAGTATATATATATACATATATTTTTCTTTTTTAATGTTTATAACATAAAATAAAATTTTATTTTTAACTAACAAAAAAAAAAACAAAGGTTTTTACACGTGAAGAACTTGAACATATAGCAAATTTATGTCAAAAACATGATGTTATTTGTATAGCTGATGAAGTCTATGAATGGATAGTATATGATAAAAATAAAAAACATATACGTATGGCAACATTACCAAATATGTGGGAACGAACATTAACAATTGGTAGTGCAGGAAAAACATTTTCAGCAACTGGTTTAAAATTAGGTTGGACTATTGGATCACAACATCTTATGCATCCATGTCAAGTTGTTCATCAAGTAATTTGATCTATTCAAGTAGAAGAAATAAAAATACAGAGAAAAAATTTTTATTTTTTTTAAGAATTGTGTTTATACATGTCCAACAATATCACAAGAAGTTGTTGCACGTTGTTTTGAATATGAATTAAAACGTTTAAATTCTCCTGAATGTTATTTTAATTCAATATCAACTGAATTTCTTGAAAAACGTGATAAACTTGTTCAAGCTTTAAAAGAATGTGGAATGAAACCCGTTGTACCTGATGGTGGATATTTTATTATTGCGGATTATAGTCAATTTGGTTTGTTTAAAAATAATTCCTTTTTTTTTTTTTTTGTATTATCTGAAAGAATATGTTTTTGATTTTTTGTTTTATATTAAATAGCTGGTGATAAATTTCAATCGGATGCTGATGATATGAAAGATTTTAAATTTGTTCGATATTTAATCAAAGAAAAAGTAATTAATTTATATAGAAAGAATTGAAAATACTTATTTTCTTTATTTTAGCAACTTGCTACTATTCCTGTAACAGGTTTTTATACAGCTGATCATCGTCATTTAGCTGAAAATTATATTCGATTTTGTTTTGCTAAAGTAAGTTTCAATGAAATAATTTACAATGAATTGTTTTCTGTTGTTTTTTTTTTTTAGAAAGATGAAACACTCGATAAAGCAATTGAAATTCTTCGAAAACTTAAAACAAATTAAAAATTTATTATTATGTATTTAATAATGAAAAACAAAGCATTGACTCTTTTTGGTATTTTTTTTTAAATTTGCGTTGATAAACTCTCTAATTATAAAATCATAGTTGTTTATTGATTATTGATAAACTTTGAATGTTCTTCTTCTCACCAAAGTGATATATAAGAATATATCTTAGTACTTTGCTTATTAAATAGCCAAGAAATTTCTTTTGCAGTCTGTGATCTATAAGATTCTACTGTTGTATTTTTATTAACTGGATCTGTATAAATATATGAAATAGGTATAGTCACAATGTTTAAGACCTTTTGCATTATCCCTAGTCTGATTTATTTCTGCCAATTCTTCACTTAATGCTCATGTAAAAAAACAAATCTTTGGAAATAAACATTTTTTTCTTGAAATTTGAATCACTTCAACTAAGAAATAGATATGATGTTGCTAATGTATCATGGATTTCAACTTCTGATTCACAATGATGTTTATCTAAGAATAATAATTTTTTCAAATTTTTGATAATATTTTATTATTAAATGAAGTACTAATCCACCAGCTATATCATAGTCAAGCATTGCTGTATAATCTGATTGATTTAATGAACGAAAGTTTGTATATGTATGTCATTTAAATGAATCAGAGAAGTTCGAATTTAGCATGGGTGTAGTGATATGGTATATGTGTGTCATGTGGAATGTAAGTATGTGATGTACGTGTGGATGATGATGAGGGTGTGGTAGTGCGGTGTATGATGTTGGCTCTAAGTTTATGAGGGTGGGATGTGTGAGTGTTGTGGTGGATGGCTATAGATGTGGTTGTGGATGTATGAATATGAGTGTAGTTATTTGAATAGTGAAAGAAAACACTACAGTGCACTCATACTGACACTCTCGCTGACATTCTCTCTGACACTCACAGCCACACACCCGAGTCACAGTAACGAGTGTTGCTTGATAAATGTATAGTCCACTTCAAAAAGTATTATTCAAATGAGCGTTCTATGTACTCGTATCTACATTGCCTCGATGCTTTGAAATTTTGATATTCTGAATCTTTACTCATCTTCAAGTCACTCAAATGGATAACGCTTATGGCTCGTTTTCAGTCAGTAAACGTGGAAACACATCAACTTTACGGTAGTAAACAGTATAAACACATCGTAAACTGTGTGTATTTATAGCGTTTGATCGGGTGCAGAAATACAGTCGATATTTTAATAATAGCATAAATATTCAGTGTACGATCCATTTACTGTACATTATGGCTATTCAAATTAATGTTTGAAGTATCAATAAACTGACTGTACTTGCACCATTTTCACACTATAAATTATGTGATATACCCTATAACTTCGCGATTCACACACTAGTGTTACACTATCAATATAATCATGGTCATCCAATCAATTTTAGTTACAGGGTATTATTTGATGTCCTGGCGCATTATATACAGTTGTTTGGGTATGGAAGACTGATGGGACAGTACATAACGTTGCTCATGTATAGGCCCGTTGCGGGTGTGGGTCTCGTTTCGTGTTACAAACGAATTTAGCAAGGACTAACTGGTGTCTTTCATGTTTTTGTAGCACTACTCTACGATTGAAATGACATAGTACACGTTCCAGAAAGCTCTGGTAGACGTCTGTATAGACCTGAGCAGGTGCGCAGGACTGTCACATCCATCTCGGTTGTGTACCGCATGGTTCGATCTGGGTTAAGGATAAACAGATAAATATAAGACTAGAAAAACAAATTTGTGATAGGTTAGACAAAAGCAGAGTAGTCCCTCTCATTTGGGTAGTTCTACCAGGAATCTTATACGTTATACAAAAGTATCTCCGAACAAGCTGAAACTTTCATCAATTGAAGGCTTCACTACTCTAAAACTTATGATAAAAAAATCCTACGAACTTTCGCTCGGCATCATAGGTTTTTTGGGACCACAAAATTCGACCTTTTGATCTATAATGGTCTTTTTCATCATTTTGAGGTATTGACTTTTTTCTATAACTACAAATTGATAATTGGAATTTTATATATAGGTATATAGTACTAAGTTAGTAGATTTTGTACAATATTGTATCAGCTCATTTATATCGTTCATATATGAATTGGTCCAATGCGACATTATGATAGAAATAAGAAAACAGCAAAAATATCTTATTTTCGGATATACTGTTTCACATCATAATACAATGATTGACTACCAATTTTGGCTACGCTGAATACATATATTTATTCCCTATCTCAGCATATAAGAACCATATGTTCAAAGTGTTTATATTGGTAGATAGGGTTATACAGACGAGTACCATTATAATTTTGAATAGTGAAAAAGTCACATATTGTGGTCAAGATTTCTGACGCAAGCAGAAAATTTAGGTGCATATTGGATAATAGTTTGGTGAAGTACTAGTCTTAGTCTATTACCTAATATCATTAGTTTGTCTCGCTACTTTGAATTTCTTAAAATAGGATAGGATGAAAAAGGTTATTTTTCATATGGAATCTTCTTTCTGAGTATTCTGATTAAAAAAATTTTGGGAAAGCTTTTGTTTTAAGGGAGATAGACTTAAAATATTTTAAGTAGTAGAAAACGACACCCATGAAAAAAGCAGTTCTTTTGTGCAATTTTAGTAAATAGCTTTTATTAGTTTACATCACCAAAGCAAAGTCAAAACTTAATTCCAAGATCATATTCGAATTTCTCATGAAAAGGTGCATTGAACATTACCAAACTTGACTTCATTTTATAAAGATATTGAATATTACATATGTCCTCACAACCCAGCAACTGCAAAACACCATAGAGCTATCTTGGGTCCTTGATTATTCCGAAATGTTGAATTGCTGAATATGATGAGATAGAGCGTTCGATAAAAGATCAATAGCTCTACAAAGTGAGCAAGTTTCATGAGAATTGGATCCAGAGATTTCAAAACCTTGTAAATTTAGTATTTACACGATTTTAACGAATATTCATAAAAATAATATACCTAAAAAGGTGACCTCAATGTTTCAGCTAGATTAACCATCCTGAGACTTCCGCACTGTTAGAATTGTAGAGGAAGTGACGCTCTATCGAATACAGTACGATATCACAGCGTCCAGTTAAGTTTTTTCTAATAGTGAAGGTCTTGATATGGATCTATACCATTATGTCGTTGACGAGTGGTCAGTACGTATTTCCGGTTAAATATTTTTCAAAGCGTAAGTCAAGTTTGATATTGCTCGATGCGCCTCTTCGTGAGAAACTCGAATATGATCTTGGAATCAAGTTTTGGCCTTGCTATGGTGATCTAAACTAATAAAAACTATTTACTAAAATTGTACGAAAAAACCGCTTTTTTCAGGGGTATCGTTTTCTACTACTTAAAGTATTTTAAGTCTATCTCCCTTAAAACAAAAGCTTTCTCAAAATTTTTTAATCAGAATACTCAGAAAGAAGATTCCATATGAGAAATAACCTTTTTCATCCTATCCTATTTTAAGAAATTCAAAGTAGCGAGACAAACTAATGATATTAGGTAATAGACTAAGACTAATACTTCACCAAACTATTATCCAATATCCACCTAAATTTCCTGCTTGCGTCAGAAATCTTGACCACAATATGTAAATTTTTCACTATTCAAAATTATAGGGTACTCGTCTGTATAAGCCTATCTACCAATATAAACACTTTGAACATATGGTTCTTATATGCTGAGATAGAGAATAGATATATGTATTCAGCGTAGCCAAAATTGATAGTCAATCATTGTATTATGATGTGAAACAGTATATCCGAAAATAAGATATTTTTGCTGTTTTCTTATTTCTATCATAATGTCGCATTGGACCAATCCATATATGAACGATATAAATGAGCTGATACAATATTGTACAAAATCTATTAACTTAGTACTATATACCTATATATAAAATTCGAATTAAAATTTGTAGTTATAGAAAAAAGTCAATACCTCAAAATGATGAAAAAGACCATTATAGGTCACAAGGTCGAATTTTGTGATCTCATTAAAACTATGATGCCGAGCGAAAGTTCGTAGAATTTTTTTATCATATGTTTTAGAGTAGTGAAGCCTTCAATTGATGAAAGTTTCAGTCGGACCGGCGAAGATGATCGTAAACGTGTGAGATTTCCGGTTGAACTACCCTACATTCAAAACTTTACTACTGTATGCACCTTAATAGGCTTTACACATCTACACAATCAACATAAATAGAAGTCCTAACAACGTCTAAACTTAAAATATTTCAATATCATTAATACTGCGAATGTAAGAAATTCAACTATTTTTTCAAAACTGATCAAAATTCTCTGAAAATACTATTTTAAAGACGAAGTAATTAAAGCCTGGTCTAATATGCCGTTTTCAATAGTCTGCATTTTATTTAGTTGTGTTCTGACATATTTATGCAAAAGCAGTAAAACAGATAAGGCAGGTAATTGAAACATGATCAACATAGATTGTTAATATATGTCACAAATAGACAAGCATACAATTGACACTAGATGAATTTAAAAAAAAAATTGTTGAGTTTCTTACATGCGCAGTATTAATGGTATTGAAATATTTCAAGTTTAGACGTTGTTAGGACTTCTATTTTTGTTGATTGTGTAGATCTGTACAGCCTATTAAGATGCATCCAATAATAAAGTGTTGAATGTTGAGAATTAGATTAACATAAAAATTTAAATTTCCGAAATAACAACTTACAATAATTTTTCTGAAGTTGAGATAGATCTAAGTCTTCAAAGAAAGTCTATGATGAAGAACCCATCATCTCATTGTAATCAGTTCATCAAGCTCTACAACCTAGCATAAAGCCGATTGCAAATGGTGACTCACACTTGGGGATATATCCTTGTCAGTACATTCATTATAGAGAATAATCATTTTAAATTATATCCATCAATTCCATGAATAATAATTGTATTTTTAATCAATGCGGACTTAAATTAGAAAAAAACAATGTAATAGAAACCTATGCTAACTTTATTTGAACTTAAAGATAGAATAATAGTTTTTTGGCTTTGCATCAATTACTACGAAATACCAAAAAATTCTAATTTTTGTCATGAATTTATTATTATGCGTAGTATGAAAACAATTTAATTGATCTCAACTATTTTACGAAAAATCAATGAAGTTTATTGAATTTTAGAATATTTTCTCATCGTTCGACATAACCAATACTCATCTCTTTTTAGAATGACTATTTGTTATTGAAATACGATTGTTTCATTTTATCAATTAATCCGTTTCGACTTTTGCATTATTTGTCGTTATTCATTTTATAAGTAAATTGAAGCCAATCAGATTCAATACACACATTACTATGTTATCATTTATTTCAATTTGTTTCAAAATTCTTAATTAATCACCGCTTATATTACATGATTATATTAACTTGATCTTCAAGATTTGACACGTGAGCATCGCCTCCTACGATTATTTTTCTGTTATAATTATCAATGTGGCTAAGCTAAAATTTACTATTCATAATAGGAAGCCGTTTAAATATGAATAAATTATCAAATTTCAATAAACAAATCATTGAAAAATACTAATGCCAAAATAATTTTTTCGAAATCCTTTATTTCATAAAAGGAAATATCACAAAATCATCCTCTCTGTATATTTACGAATAAAAAATTAGAATGAATATGTATTTTTTTGATATGCTGTTCGACAAACAGGACAGTTAGATGTTGCATCACAACAATATTCTTCAAACATTTGTAAACATGTTGCATGAAATACATGTGAACAACTAAGTAATACTAATGGTCTTTTTGGTTGTTGTTCTTCTTGTGTTTTGACTATTGATTTTTCTTCAATAGATTTTAATTGTGGAAATAATTTTTCTAATTTATTTTTCTTTGTTTTCATCGATTTTTTAATAATTGTTTCAATAATAATTGGTTGTAATAAACATTTACATATTGAACATTCAAGTTCATGTCGTTGTTTGGCACGTTCTTTTATTTGTTGCCATTCATCATCATCAATAGTACGTATTCGTGCATCAAATGCTTGACGAATAGCACGTGCACGTTCAACATTTCGATCAATTTCATTAAATAAATCATTTAAATCAAAATCACATGATGCTATTATACGATCAGTTATTTCAGATAATTTATCTTGATAAAATTTTCGACGTAATTTTGTATCATTTGGTATATTTGACATATCAAGACGAAAATTTTTATACCATTGTCGAACAATATAACCACGCCATGCAGCTTGTATACGAGATGCACATTTAGCGCGATGAATTTTAGCGCCTTCATATATAATACGTTTTTCATATTGTGCACGACGACAAATAGGACATGTTCGATGATCGGAACCATTTGCATTATGAGAAACAAATTTTTCAAATGTTGTTAAACAAGCTCGATGGAATACATGTGAACATGATAATAATACTTGTTGTCCAAGACCAAAATCCTCTTGACATATAGCACATGGACAATTTGAATCTTGACGATCATTTGACCGTTGTTTTATTGCATTCCATGCTGCTTCAGTTAAATGATTTTCTGCATCATTATTTGTCATATGAATAAGTCCAATACGTTCAGCTAATGTTCCTCGTTGACGATGAGAAGATATTAAAGTTTGAGGATCTTGAAGAACATATTCACGTTCTTCATATGATTTTGTTACTGGTAATGTTTGTGTTGGAACTGATGAATTTGTTTCTGTTTTCTTTTTTAGACCAGTATCAATAACTGATTGAATTTGATGTGTTTTAATAGGACGAGGACGATTTATATTTTGAGTTAACGAACGACCAGGCATACTAAGGTCAAGCGTGCGCGCACGATGATCTTGTATAGCACTACTCATTAATGCTGAACTATAATTAATATTATCATTACCAACTAAAATAAAATCATAGATAAAATAAGAAATTGACGATTAATTCATCTGATTTTTATTTTTTACCCCTCCGTTTACTTGCCATTATCATCATTCAATAATGCTTCGGATATACCATTTGAAGAATTCTTCTCGATTATTTCTTTTTTTTTTTTATTCGTTCTTCGATAGTAACCGGTAACAATAAGAGAAGAAAAAGAATTCAACAACAACGAGAAAAATGTGTGTTTTTTAACAATGATTATATTTTGAAGAAACAGTAAAAAAATCGATCAATTCATCATTTGCATGATACTGTGATTAGAAATAAGAAATAAATTTAACAATAAAATAGATAAATAATGTTAATAGCATAATTACATTTTTTGGGTCAATAAAGTTTTTTTTTTTTTAATAAGAATAGTTACTTTATTTTACATAGTACATATTTACTTATGAAGGAGGATAGTGTCCTATTAAAACGAGTTTATCTATAAAAGAGTAATGATAGGAATACATTTTGCCTTCATTTTTCAAACGACGATGTTGACAATGATAAAATTTCTTTTATTGATCATTGGAATAGAACTTCTTTTTATGACAATCGATCATTGTCAAGCATGGAATGAAACAGGTTTTAATTTTTTATAATATAATATATTATTATTGTTTCATTATATTATTTTTTAATTAATTTATTATCTTTTCAATAGATTTAACAGAAAATATAACTGAAATTATTCCACCACAACCATTTGTTTATTATGGTCGATATCATCAACGACGTTCTCGTCGTGAATATCTATATAAAAATTCAACATCTGATCTTAATACAATTGAAACAGTTCTTTCAATTCTTCCATTAGATCGTCTAGGTGCTATTATTGGTCAAATTATGGCAACAAGTCTTAAAGAAATATTTAATCCAAATGTTGGCAAAAAAATTATTAATGTTCTTGAAAATCAAGTACCATCATTATTAACATCACTTTTTAGTAATCTTTTTAGTACTTTTCGTATTCCAGCAAGAGCATCAACAAGTAATATCACTGTATCAATCAATATAAGTACTAATAAGCCATTGAGTAATAGTTCAACACCATCGTTAATAAATTTTATGCGACGTCCAAGAACCAAGTAAAATAATTCTATGTCTATCACGCATATTTTTTCTTTTGTTTCAAAATATAAACAATATGTAATATTTATAAAAAATCTCAAAATGCACATTATCTTTATATACTATATATATTAAATCATAAGTTTTAGATAATATTACAACATAAGCCGATCAAAAATCAGGCAATGAATTTCAAGTATATTTTTATCATGATTACGGCAATCTAACATAATATTCTTTTTGAATTTAATATATAAGATATAATTTTTATAGTAAAATTTATTGAAAAAATATTTATAAAACCATAATTGAACTAAATCATATATAAATTGAATAAAAAAAATAACTTTTTCAATAACTATAAAATTTTATTCTTAATTGAACATACTTCTTTCTAGATTTACTTTTAACAGTTCGTTTGCCATCATTAAATTATGTCATTTTCTTTTATTTCCCCTCATTATGTTTCATTTATATTAAAAGAAACACATCATTTACATTCTTAGACAGAAAGAAAAATATTTAGAAATATTAGACAGTGTCTCTTACGTTTTATTCTTTTTTTTTTTTCTTTATGCAAACATCGACCTATATACTTATGAATTATTATTGTTATTATTATTCTTTAAAGGAGAACCAAAAAAAAAAAAAACATACTACGGACATCAATGCATGAATCCAGGCTTCTCTATAAAAAATATCATTGACTAAGATTTTTACATATATTAGAATTCATCTGGTATTCAACAGAGCTTTCTTTTTTTCTTTTGTTGTCATTCTTTGAAATGACTTTTTATTTGACATTTACTCGTTCTTCAATCAATTCTTTTTTTTTTTTTGTATGTTATTCAATAAAAATTCTCTTTGTTATTGATAGAAAACAGTCATCTAATTCAAATTGAGTTTTACTTGAAAAAAGAAAGATATTTTGAAAGGAAAGTATACATTGAAATATGTTAAACATCATAAAATTATTATGTTGAATGAGAAAAAGAAATTGAAATGAAAAACTTTAATATTGATGTATTTTAGTTTCGAATTTATTTTCTTATATTTTGAGATGAACAATAAGAATTTTGATTAGTATTGACATTGATTTTGTTTTATCTGACAAAAGATATGTCTAATTTCAATGAAGATGAATTTCTCATAAAAAAAAAGAAATAGTTTAAATCTAATGAGAAAAATTTTAACATTAAAAAAAAAAAAAGTCAATTAAATTTAATGATATACTAAATATAAATTAGTATCTTAAGATTTTGTTTCTTTAAACATAGGATAATATAATAACAAAAAAAGTGAGAAATATTCTTTGTTGTTGTTGGTTTTTTTTTGTTTCTTGTTCAATATAAAGAGAAAAGATTCCTTTCCAATTTTTATCTCTTTTCTTCTTTTTTTTTTTTTCTTCTTTCTGTTAACGAAACAAAATAGCATTAAGTTTATTCGCTTGCATTGCCGCTATTGAATTGCCAATATGGTCGTTGCCCTCCGTCGTCGATGTCGTTTTCTCTTCTTCCTCTCAAGCAATAAGAAAGAAACTATTGTTTCGGTTTGTAGAGTGGTGTGTGTGTGTGCATCGTGCACACGCATTTACAATGTCCTCTATTTACGGCGGTGTAATACAGCGGCGCCGTCTTCGTTGTTGACTAGCGCGCGAAAGAAAGATGGATTGGTGGAAAAAAAGATGATGAAGAGAGCGAAGCTTCTTTCTTCTTTTTTCTCTCATTATGCTATATGACTATGTCTATATATATATATATATATATGCCAAAGAGCGGCAGCAGTGAAAGGACAACACACACACACACACACATACATACATAGTTCTATATATATATATAAAAACAGCGCAGACAGACGACGACGTACACGTACTACTCGGCAATCGCTGCAAGTAAACTAAAGAAGAGAGAACGAACGAGAGAAAGAAGAAGAAATAGCTGCTTGTCATATTCTCTCTTTTTCTCTGTGTGGGTCTTATGTTGATTTGATTCTTCCATCTATCATTGCATTCACAACTACTGTGTTCTTATCAACCAACTAAACTTTATCAATGGCTGATTCAACTGATGCATTGTCTTCGCCGACAGCTACTGCCACCAAGGGTAAAAATAAAAGAAAAGAAATTTTTATTTTTATTTCTTAAATAAGACAAAAAAAAAAAAACAATAACTAAATATAATATTTTCTTTTCATCATAGGTACAAAACGTGAAGCTGAATTGGATGATGTTAGTCCAAGTAAATTAAAAGCATTAAAGGCAACAAATGGTACTAATGGTGAAGCACCTACGGTAGTTGATGATGATTCATCGAATCTTAAAAATGGTGAATATCATGATGAAGAAGATGATGATGATGATGTATGTTAAAAAGAAAGAAAAAATTATTTTTTTCAAAAAAAAAAAATAAAAATTTTTCTGATTTTATATAGGTAGTTGGTGAAGATCGGGAAGGAGGTGATTATGATGAAGAAGATGGTTCAGAAGATGATTATGATGAAGAAGACGATGGAGAAAATGGTGAAGATGATGAAGGTAATTATTTTAATAGAGAGAGAAAAAAAAACAACAAGATAATATATAATGGAAAAATATTTTTTTACTTAGGAGATTCAAAAGCATCGGCTGATAAACCTAATTCTCGAAAAGTAGCAGCTGGTGCATCGGCTGATAGTGGTGCCGATGAAAGTGGTGATGAAGATGATGACGATGAACAAGAATAATCTTCAGATGTATATAAATATCCATTCTATTTACTTTTTTTTTTCTTTCTTGGCATGATTAAGAAACATAAATTCAGCAAAATCTTTTTTTTTCTCATCGAAACAGACACACATTAAAAAAAATTCTAGAGAACTCTGTATACTTTTTTTTGTTGTTGTTGTTCTTATTATTCCTACTTCTTGATGTTGTTGTATATTTCTTCTTTTGTGTGCCGGTTTCTTGGTCATATATGTGTGTACTCTTTTTTTTCGTTCTGTTTGCGATAGTTTCGCAAAATACATTCATTCATTGAAGAATATAGAAAACAAACAAAATATTAATCGGATATACAGAATTAAATATCTGAACATTTTCATGAGATAGTAAAAAATAAAGAAAAAACGAAAAAAAGTTATGGTTTTTTGAGCAAGTTACGATTAACATGCCATGATGAGAGAATGATAAATTATCGATTTTGTGTTGATGAACAGCCTAAAGGAAAGAAAAAAAAAAAGAACATTAGATTGATTTTGTACGTAGAAAAGATATATCGATAGATGTCACTAGAAGTAAATGAAAGAAAGATGAGTTTTTCTGATAGAAAAGAAAAAACCGAGGATATGTGTAAATATGAAAAAGAAAAAATAATTTTTTTGTTTTTTTGTAATGGAAAAATTCACTTTAAATTTGAAATAAAATATGGTTGAAAATTTTCTTGTCTAAATTGATGGCGTATATTATACGCAGATTATCATCATGGATTGACATCTGAAAAGCGAAGAAAATAGCGAATCAACATGACAGAAACAGATCATCATACGTATGACATTTGACTATTAGATGTAGTTTAATTTAGTACAAACATTGAAAGAAAAAACTGTCGTTTGGGATTTCATTCCTTTTTTTTAAAAAATATTAAACAACGTATTTTCTAATCAATAAATTTTTCGTTTTTTTCTTGTGAAAATTTCTCAAAATAAATCGCAAAAATGATTTCATTTACAAAATTTCTTTATTACCCATTATTATCTTCTTCACTAATCCATTTTGTTCTTTTTTTTTTCTCTTCTCTTGTACAAAACATTCTGTCCTAAGATGAAAATTGCTTGTTACATATTTTTAATCCAGTCGTATTTGTGTGATGATCTGATTCATTCAATGTTGAAAGCTATTTGAAAAGACAAAAAGAAAAAGTACAGAACAAAAAGAGAGGGAAGAAAAGACAAAAAAAAAACAAAAAAAAAAAAGAAGAGAAGATAGACAAAGACATTAAACGCCTAAGCAATAAACACACTTGCACGTACACAATTTTTTTCTTTCATCTTTTTTTTTATTATTCAAATTGACAAATATGAATGGCATGGACATCGTCGATATCAAATCAAATATTTCTTCATTTTCCTTTCTATTTTTTTGTTTTCGTGGATTTTGAAAAACAAATATATTGTATAATTGTTGACAAAAGAAAAACACGAACGGTAATTAATATATAAATAGATCATCGAAGTTTGAAATAAATAATGTTTGAATTTTATTTTATTTTATTTTATTTTATTTCGTTATTTTGATTTATTATTATTATCAATATTGTTTCCATTTTTTATTGGCAATGTTGTTGAATTTAATATTTCAATTGATTGTGAATAAGAAACAATATTATCTTGTTTTGAACTAAAATTAAATTAAATACAAAAAAAATCGATTCGTACATTTATATTTATTTAAAATAACAAAAAAAAAAAAAAAAAAAAAAAAAAAATATTGCAAAATGCATAATTTTTCTATTTTAAATTTATTTCATTGGAAAAAAAAATTGAAAATGTCGATGATGAAAAAGATATTCGTTTCTTAAATAACGTACCTTTCAGTATTAATATTTGTTGAATCAGGACTATCCATTTGCATGTCTAGACAATGAAAAAAAAAAATTTTTTTTTTAATTTCTTAGCGCAATTTTCATAATTATATATATATATTTTTTTTCGTGTGTTCTGTTCTAAATAATATGGTAAAGAAGAAACAAAGAATTAGATCTTTATCTAATCGAAGTCAATATAGAAAATCTATCAAGCAAAATAAAAGTAAAACTATTATAGAAAAAAATGATCATGATGATGATAATGAGTCAATAATAAAAAATCGTTTTACGAAATATATGGGCACGAAAAATATTAAAAAAAATAACAATAAAGAAACTCTATTTGATAATATTCATAAACAAAAATCATTGAATAAAAATCGTAAACAATCAATTTCAACAAGAATACCATTAAAAAAACGTTTATCTGTTCAATTTTATCCTGTTGAACATGTTCAA